GGCCAAGGTCCCCTCCTGGCCACATCTCCTACCACCCATTTCGAAAACTAAGTCCTAAGATGGCACGGCGGTTCCGTCCTGTTTGCTGTCACTCTCCGAACACGTGGTCTGGGGACATCAGCTGCTGTGTCATGAGTGGCCTGTGGCACGGTCCCTGTGAGGGGGGACAGGGGCCTCTGCCAACAGCACTGAAGGAGCTTGGAAGCAGACCATCCAGCCCTATCGAGCCTCCAGAGGATGGCAGCCCCGCCTGACCTGGTGGCAGTGGGCTCGCGAGACCCTGAGTAGAACCACCCTAAGCTGCCTCTGGACTCCTGACCCTCGGAAACGGTGTATGAATTTGGGTGTGACGGTCACACACGATCAGGGACGCATGCCAGTTTCTGAGTCTCAGCCTCCAGAAATAAGAAACTTCATGCCCGTCTCCTGGGGCGCGCACTCTCGGAACCTGGCTTCAAGGAAGGTGAGCTGCCACAGAGGCTCACAGGACAGGGACCAACGGACTGCCACCCTGCCGGTCACGTATGCAGGTGATCTAGGACGTGGATTGTCCAGCCCCAGTCGGGCCACCCTACCTGTCCCTGCCGAGGTGCACCTTCACCGGCAAAAGAAACGGCTGGTGATGTTCTGAGTCCCTGAGTCCTGGGCGGTCTGCTGGGCCGCAATCAGTGACGCGAACAGCTCTGGTGTCTGAGAGTGAAGTGCTGCTGCAACTGACCCTAAAATCCGAGGCACTGACGCCGGAACCCAGTAGAGACGCGACAGGCCTCAGCGTAGGCTGCAAGGGAAGCCAGAAAAATACCACTGGAGCTGGAAGAAAGAGGACCCTTGGATGGAGTGACAGCAAGTCCGTCCACCAGGTAACAGAGAAGAGTTCTTGATGAAGTTCATCGCAGCGCCAAGGAGATTCTGGGCAGAATACAGAAGGGCCCCGGCTTCTGCACTGCCTGTGACAGAGCGCAAGCCAAGAGAGGGGACTTAAGACTGCTGTGCTAATATAAGGAAGCTAGGGCTTGCAAAGCAAAACTGTTTCTTAGTCCTCGTCTCCGAGACAGCAAATGATTGTCAAAGCAAGAAAAGGCCTCAGTCCACTGACGGGAGACTTCGGGCCCTCTGCTGTCCTCCACCAGCCTCTCCGCTCACGGGGGCTTCCGAGGGGCTCCAGGGTGCTGCCTTCAGCATTCACAAGACAGCCCAGCACGGGAAAGGCTCCTCTGGAAAGGCCGGTCCCTGTGGCTGTGTCTAGCGCACTGAGGGTCTGCCGTTCTGAAGGTACTAAAACAGGCCCATCGGGGTCCCGAGAAGCACCCCCTCCTCCCACTGGCCCTCCCTGCTGCGGAGCGCACCTTGAAGGACAGAAATCATGTTATTTGCAGAAGTTGCCAAAAAATGATGAGGACCCTGCCATCACCCCAACCCCTGGGGACACAGCCACTGACTGGAAGGCCCGTTCACCAAGGGCCTAAACAGCAATCCGGAATCGGGGGTCCAGAGGGGAGTTCCCAGCCCAGTTATTCAGGCCTCACCCATTTTCTCAGCTGATCAACGAACTAAACTGAACACCCAGACCCCAGGTGCAACAACACTCCATCCTAAGAATGTTCCCTGGGATTCCAACATGGATTATTCACATCTGAAAGAGAGCTCGCTCTGCTGTCTGAGGACGCGTTTCCTCCCTGGGGCTTAACACAGACGCATCCACCTGGCTTCCCAGGAAAGACGTATTGATTAAGAAAGGCAAAGCCCCAACTCAGAAGCAAGACTGTTCACTCTGCTCTCTCTCAGCCGATGGGGCCATAACTCCAGGAAATGGCATTTGGAGCCGTTAGGAGCCCAGCCCCACGCTCCGTTCTGATGTTCTCCTGGTTGTAAATAATCCACGTGGCTGCGCCAGGAGCCAAATTGCTCGTTAGCTGCCGACATTACTTGTTTAATGATCTGAAGAGCAGAAGCTGCCAATTATTGTAGCCCTTCTTAAATCCATTTGAAACCCATACATGTAATTATTTATACCTTCTTGTTAAATTTTTATGATTCTTCTGAAGCTGATGAGCTATCCATATCTCACACCTGGACTCCATCCCGAACTGCCACCTCGGTAACAGAGTGAACTTGACCACAGGGCGTGCCCCAGGGCCTCTGCTCCCTATCTGTCCCTGAGACCCCAATCTCGCACCAACTCAACATAGCTGTTGTAAAAATAAAGTAAAGCCATACAGCGAAATGTTTAAAAGCACTATTCAAATGAGAGGGTGAGACACTGTATTCAGAAACATGTTTTCAACCTACTAATTAATGGAGTAATGTATCCCTAAATAACTACCAGATTAAGGAGGGATTGTGATCTACTGCGAATCTCCAAATATCTATAATCTATGACTAGATGGTTAAACTGGGTGCATCAGCTTGTTTCATATTATCGTTCCTCCGCCTACAGGAGGGGTTGATCACACCCAATAATCCTCACTGAGCGTCTGCAGGTATGCACTGCCATGGAAACACCGGCTGGAATGATGGTACAGAGCACGTCTAGTCTTCAACTCTTAAAGAATAGGAAGTGGGCTTCCGGTCAAGACAGCAGCATAGGTAAACGCGGTATCCATCCTCCCACAACCACATCAAAGTTACAACTAAACTATAGAACAACCATCATTCAAAACTGCCTGAAATCGAGCTGAATGGAAGTCCTACAACTACGGAATTAAAGCAGCAGCCACATCCAGACTGGTAGGAGGGCGGAAGCGAATGGGCTGGTCCCACACCCACGTGTGGTGGATAAAAATCAGGAGGACACCTCGGCTGGGAAGGTCCTCCCTGAGGACTCAGGGGTCCCCGTCCCACACCAGGTGCCCTGCTCAGGGTTCCAGTGCCGGGAAGAGAATCCCCATCACTTCTGGATAGAAAAACCAGCGGGAACTGAGGCTCAGGGAGGCTGAGTCTACTGGAGCCCCAGGCAACTCCTTAAAGGGCCCGCGCACGGACTTATCGGACTCTCTCCTTCTAAGCTTGGAGGGGAGGCAGCTCGAGGGGCACCAGAGACATACAGGGAAGAACTGAGCTGTTTGGCACTGGAGCGAGGGCTGGAGAGGGGGCTTTCTCCAGGACAAACTTGCTGTCAGAGGCCTTTGTTCCTTTGGTGAGCCCTTCCCTGGGGCGGAAGACAGCCGCCATATCTGGGACTCCAGCAACCTGGCTCACACTGGTTGCCCCGCCCTGGTGATTCCCTGAGGCCCTGCCCCACCCAACTTTCAGGCCCACCCAAGCTGTTGCCAGTTGCTTAACCATTGGATTGGCCTGTCTTGGATCCTGCTTCAGGTTTTTCCTAAATTCTTTCAAACAAGCAGCATCTGGTCTCAGCTAGCCCCATACCGCTCGTTAAGTAATACACAGAAATAAACACAGGGAGGCAGTCAAAATGAGGAGACAAAGAAACAGGTCCCAAATGAAAGAACAGAACAAAACCCCAGGAAAAGAACTAAGTGAAATGGAGATAAGCAACCTAACAGATGCTGAGTTCAAAATACTGCTTATAAGGATGCTCAATGAACTTAGTGAGAACCTCAGTGAACTTAGGGAGGGCCTCAAGAGCATAAAAAAGGACCAGTCAGAAATGATGGAGGCACAGTCAGAAATGAAGGAGGCACTAACTGAAATAAAGAATAATTTACACAGATTCAATAGTAGAGTAGGTAAAGCCAAGAAGCAAACCATTGATTTGGAATATAAGGAAGCAAAAAATGCCCAATCAGAACAGCAAAAAGAACAAAGAATCCCAAAAAATGAGGATAGTGTAAGGAGCCTCTGGGACAACTTCAAGCGTGCCAACATTCACATCTTGGGGGTGCCAGAAGGAGAAGAGAGAGAACAAGAAATCGAAAACCTGTTTGAAACAATAATGGCAGAAAACTTTCCTAACTTTCCTAACTTGGTGAAGGAAACAGACATATAAGTCCAGGAAGCACAGAGAGTCCCAAATAAGATGAACCCCAAGAGGTCCACACCAAGACACATCATCATCAAAATCCAAAAGGTTCAAGACAAAGAGAGAATCTTAAAAGCAGCAAGAGAAAAGCAGCTAGTTACCTACAAGAAAGTTCCCATAAGGCTGTCAGCTGATTTCTCAAAAGAAACTTTGCAGGCCAGAAGGGAGTGGCAAGAAATATTCAGAGTGTTGAAAAGCAAGAACCTACAACCAAGATTACTCTATCCTGCAAAGCTGTCATTTAGAATCGATGGCCATATAAAGAGTTTCCCAGACAAGAAAAAGCTAAAGGAGTTCATCACCACCAAACCATTATTATAGGAAATGATGAAGGGTCTTTTTGAAAAAAAATAAATAAAATATATGAACAAACAAAATGGCAATGAATACATATCTATCAACAATGGAATCTACAAACAAAATGAACAGGTAGAACAGAAACATTCTCATAGATACAGAGAACATTTTGTTGGTTGCCAGATCGGAGGGGGGTTGGGGGAATGGGTGGAAAAGGTGAAGGGATTAAGAAGCACAAACTCATTGCTAGACTGACAAACCTCAAAGGAAAAGGGGTTGGGGGGTGGGAAGAAATAAACCGAAGAACTTATATGCATAACCAATGGACACAGACAATAGTGTGAGAAAAGGCAGGAGGGGGGTGGGAGTGGGGAGGAGGGGGTCAATGGGGGAAAAACGAGGAACATCTGTAATACATTCTACATCTAACAATAAAGATTTTAAAAAAAAATTTTAAATAAATAAATAGGAAGTGGAAGTCCAAAATACGAACCTACACAAATAACTTGCTTTCCACCATGTGTGCACATGCATGTTCAGTCTTACCCATCCCTCCATAAGGAGACCATGCTGCCCATGTCACCCCATGGGTTTTAGCGAGACTCCCCAGAAAAGCTCTGCCATATGAGTGTGTGACCTCAGTCACAGGCAGAATGCCCATCCAGGATGGTGATTGTCATCGTCCACTTTTACCGCCTCCATGTCTCCTGTTTCCAGTTACCTGACACGGCAAGCATTTTGGCTTCAAGCAACGCCAGGAGCTGGGTTTCAATCTCGGTAACTTGCGTCCTCAGAGCGCTGCAGAGTCTCTCCGTCCTGCACACCTAGAGGGGGAGAAACAGCCCTGAATTGTTGGGTAAAAATCAGAAGCCAACAGAGTGGCCGCCAGAGACTTCTGGGTCTATAAGTAACTGAAGGGGGTGATGAAGAGTAACTGAAGGAGAGTTCTTAGGAAGGAAGGGAGGGAGGGGGGAGGGAGGAGGGGGAGGAAGGAAGGGAGGGAAGAAAGGAGGGAGGGAGAAAGGGAGGAAGGAAAAGGAGTGAGGGAGGGAAGGAGTGAGGGAGGGAGGGAGGAAGGGAAGGGAGGAAGGAAAGGGAGGGAGGGAAGGAGGGTAGGGAAAATAAAGCAAGCATTGGCATATTTTAAGCATTAAACCCCTATACCTTTCAGAACACCCTCACACAAAACTGACATGAGCTAACACAACAGTACAACCACAGATTAAAATACCGTCGCCACTCTGCCTAGCCCCTCCACAGGGCCTTTGCACCTACTCCCTCCTTCTGAAATACTCTCGTGAGGTGGCTCAGCCTACTCACAGCCTCAGGGCTCTGCTCAGGCACCCCCGGGAAGAAAACCCTGGCTGGTCACCTACATAAAGCAACACCTCCCCTCCTCCCTTTCTGCCTTTACCCTGCTTCATGTTTTTCCACAGCGTCCTCTCCAGCTGACACACTGTTTGTTCTTATTCCTTTGTTCTTCTATTGTCTCTCTCTGCTGGGATATAAGCTCTGTGTGAGCAGGGACTGTGTTCTGCGTCTGGCATGTCGCAGGCAGTAAAGGAAGGAGCCCAGCCTCGAGATCAAGGGCCGCGTGGCAGGCTGAACAGAACCCTGGTAGGCGCTGTCTGGTGAAGCTTGGAAGGCCAGCATTTGCTGGCAAGTCATATTTGAAAAACAGACAAGTAGATCTCAACGAGATTTGCAGGTTCGATCATTTATTTTTCAGGATACTCCAAACATTACTACGTTTTTCTTTGCTTTTTCAAAAACAGTAAAAATTTTAGATCTCAGCCTGCCTGGTCTGGTTGAGCATCGACCCATGCACCAAGAGGTCACCAGTTCAATTCCTGGTCAGGGCACATGCCGGGGTTGTGGGCCTGATCCCCAGTGGGGGGCGTGCAGGAGGCAGCCAATGGATGTTCTCTATCATTGATGTTTCTATCTCTCTCCCTCTCCCTTCCTCTCTCTCTAAAATCAATAAAGAAAAAAAAAAATCTGTTTTTAAATTTTAAATCTCAGGTTTTTTTTCCAAATGTCTTATCTTTTATTTTGTTTGAAACCAAAACATCGTAAATTTTTCTTTTCTATGTAATGCAAAAACTTCATGTGCAATTAATATCAATACTCAGATTAATGAGCTACTTAGAAAAACTTCCAGTTCAACAAAAGCATGCATAGTTGAATAACTGTGGACATTCAGGGGTGATCCACAAAGGTTGTTACCCGGAAGCATCCCTCTTTTCTTGCTAAAAATCTAAGATTCCATTGAACAATTAAAATTAACCCATTTTGGTTCAAAGAGCCCAGAGAAAATATAAAATCTAATTTCTCCAAAAGAATCTAGATCTTGCTAGATATCATCAACTTAAAAGGTTTCACTTGTCTCAGACTTAATTGAGATTGTTCTTAGAATCAAAGCAGACCTCGCCACCCGATCTAAAACATTACACCATTTATTCCATGATCTTAAACATGTTCTTCTTCCACTAAACAGCTGGAATCCCCCAAACTGCTTTATAAAACTCACTCTCTAGAAAGCGGCAGCGTAATAGCCTCTACAGCAAAGCTTATACCAGCAGTCTGAGCACCCACATGTCCAAAGTGATTACATCCAAGACCCTCTAAACTCTAGAGTCTACATAGTCCTGGGATTTGTTGGGATGTCAGAACTGGAGTTAAAAGAAAGATGCTCTGAGCGAAGTCTCGGGCTGCTCCACGCCCAGTGACTGGACCTCCCTTCCATTCATCTAACAAAGTCATCCAAGTCCGAGGGCGTTTCTGTTAACTCCGTAACACCAGCCATAATTCTTGTATCTCGTCCAATGTATGGCCAATATTTCTGAGTTTAGTTAACAGTATCTGTGAATCATAATTGGGTCAATTTGTCCTTTGTTGAGCAAATCTATCTTTCAAGCTGTCACTATTAATAAGAAATAACCTCTCTCAACCTTTCTCAATCGCAAACAACATTCTTTCAGGCACTGCTGGGTATAATCGAACAGCGACCCATCTCCAGATGTCCCATTTCTTTGCAACTGTTTCTTCCATCTCATTTATCCCTTAATTCCCTTTGCTTTGGGTAACACATAAGAGTCGAAGAAATGCAGAGAGTGGATGGAAGGTCGGTCTCTCTTTGCGAGAGGAATCAAAGTGTCAGATCCATGACTCTAATACACTAAGTCAAGAATACACTGCCAAACTATGCTTTTTACCTCAAGGTCACCAGTCAGTCAAAGAAAGTTTTGTGAGACTGGGTAGTTTTTTTTTTAATCATCACCTGAGGATATTTTTCCATTTTATTTTCAGATAGAGTGGGAGGGCGAGGGAGAGAGAGAGAGAAAAACATCGACTGGTTGCCTCCTACATGACCCCGACCAGGGCCAGGGCCAAACCGCAACCAAAGCATGTGCCCCAGACCAGAATCGAACCCAAGACTCATTGGTCTGTGGGTTGACGCTCTAATCACTGAGCCAAACCAGCCAAGGCTGGGTAGCTTTAATTCTCTGTAGACTAATATATGCTCCCCACCACACACAGATTTGCCCACATACATACCCACCTTCGCACACACACACACACCCAAAAAATATGCATCCCCCTTTTATTTCCAAATAAAATGGATCCTGAGGAACTCAGTATCAATGGAGCTTTTACATTTACATTTTTAAATATTAGACATGAGTTTCTTAATCTTGTGGTAAAGCAAAATCGACGTTTTCCATAGATGCACTGGAGAAGGTATGCAGACAAAGCCAACCACGTCTGGCATTGTGGCAAGTCCAGCAGCTTGAACAGGAGCTAGAGATTATCCCCAAATCCCAAAATCGTGTGCATATGTGCATATGTGTGTGTATACAATGTGTCATATGAAACACTTATAAACACCATCTGTGTTATGTCGTAGGCACACCTGCAAACTCACGTCTGAGGCCCAGACCCATTCGTCTCGCACACACACTGCTACTCAGCAAACCCGGACCGAGAGCCCTCCTTTTAATTCTACACAGAAATCCGAACACACTGACAGGTTCACATGTACGGCTGAGAATACAGGAGAAGGGATACTGCCACACCTCCCATCCTCACCTCCCTGGGACCCTCCTGGAGGTCACAGTGGCAGATTTGATAGGGCCATGCGTACTAGTGGGTGACCTCACAGTGACACGCGGCAGAACCTCAGGTCTGCCGTCTAGCACGTCCCCTCCTGCGTCACGTAACAACCTGGTGAAGCCAGTCAGCCTCCCTCAGGCCTGCAGAGGGGCCAGAAGGTCTCAGCCCCACTCAGTAGGGGAGCCGGAGTTCTGCCTGGGGACAGGTGGGCTCGCCTGCCCCCCTTGGGGCGCACATTCCAGGAAGTTCTCTGGAAGCCCAGCAGGTTCTCCCTGGGCCCCCACGCCCTCTTGTGGACAAAACACCCTGGCAGGGAGCTCTCCTTGCTGCATAATAGCTCATCAAACGGCTACTGTGTGGAGAGATTTTAGCAAAATCACTGAATGCTGTTCTCAGAAATGAATTAAACACAAAAACTGGGAGAAGGGCCAGAGTAACCGGAGATTTTTTCCAACAACACAGCTCCGATCTTGGCTTAGTGCGTGACCCACGAGACCCTTGGCAGGTCCTCCTGGGCTGTTGCCCTGGGCACTGGGAACAAGACCCCTTCCAGGCCAGTGGCTCTCTCTGCTTCTCTCTGCTCAGAAACCTGTTCTCTTCACATTTTGACCATCTTATAACCAGCCCTGGCTCCCAGACCCAACACGAATAATCCGTGGTTTACACCCAGTTCTGCCCATGCTGAGTGCTAATCTGCAGGGTAGTTGCTCCTACTTCAGTTTGTCGGGGTGTCACTGTCTCCACAGGGAAGGGCTCTGCTCTGTAAACCCGGCTTGTCCTACCAACCCGGACACAGCTATCGAAGTGACTTGACTACCTTTCCCAGGGCGTGGAGGACGACGGCCTGTCTCGGCACAAACCGAGCCGCATCTGAAGTATAAATGGAAGATAAACTAGGCAATATGACTGCAGCCGATTTGAAGTCAGGGGAGCAACCTGAACTCCGCCCTCCTGGGAGGGAACGGAATTCCCTGCCCAGTGAACCCCACCCCGACAGCCCTGCAGAGCAAGGGCAGGCATTGGCGGGGCAGGATGGGGGTCACTGTCCCTCTCCAGCAACGACCGACTGCTCCTCCTGAGGCGGAGGCCGAGGCGGCCCATTCAAGGACCAGGAGCCGGGCCGCACCCGCAGCCGGGCCTGCACCCCGCAGCCGCCCCCGGCTCCGCTGGCCCCGCGGCCGGGCCGGCTCTGCGAAGTCCGAGTTTCTCCCAGGACCCAGGCCCTCTGAGCCCAGAGAAATGAAGTCAAAAGAAAACGTCAGCGGTCTCTGTAGAAAGCGGGCATAGGAAGGCACTTACCTTCGCAGCGATTTCTTTAAGTGACAAGTTGAGGGGCTTTATCCTTTCCTGGAGGCTAGAAGAATTAGAGAGAGGACATTGGTCTTCTTGGTGTCACAGTTCAATCCCACCCCATATGAAAACTCCAGAGACCTGCCCTCCATCGGCCCAACGCTGAGGACAGCAGGGAAGACGATGCTAAATCAGGTCCCTTTGACTATGGACTTAATATGCTGCTGGGAAGCAGATTGTCCCTCCCTAATGATGCTCTACTTAGGCCAATATTCAAATCTGTTATCGTGTCCATGGGGCACATCCACTGACAGGGTGAAGAACAGCCCAGATGTGCTCCTGGCGACAGAGGATTAAAATTTACATTCCTGTAACTACTTCCAAAAACCAGGGTCTACACAGGCTGGCATTTCACAGGCAGGTAGTCAACTTGATCCATCTGGGTACCCTGTGCCATTCCACAAATTGGTACTGAGCACCTGCTGTGTTCAGCAGTGAGGTGGAGCACGCAGGAGGTATATGTATTTAAAGTGCATCTAAAATAGAATTCCCTTGCTCTTTAGGCTCCTCCCTGCCTCTGTTTTCCCTTAGCACTATTCACCTTGACACGTTCATTTATTCTTGTAATTTCCCCCCCTCCCCCATGGAATATAACTTCCACAATCGCAGCAACTGTCTGTTGTATTCATGCCTGTGTCCTCAGTGCTTAAAACGATGCCTGCAGCTCGGAAGCAGGCACTCAGCCAATATCTGCAGAATGAAGGAGTGAGTGAACGAGTGACTCGTATTCTCAGCATTATCTAGCGGAGAGGAGGACATGCAGATGATCAAGTATAACACAAAGCAAGATGAAAACATTACTATTAGGAAACAGAACCCGATGCTAGAATCAAACTGTTACACAATAACTGTCACAGGCAGAATATTGTTCCCAGATGAGCTATGGAGACAACTTGTATAGCAGTTTAGAAACGAGGGGGTTTGTGGGAAAGCTACTGAAAGAGTTGGAAGGAACTGGGCCTCAAAAAAAGGAGGAAGAATGACATTTCAGGGAGGAGAAGAATCTGACTGGACCGAATGGTGCACAGAGGTGAGTTGTGAGAGAGAGAGTGAAGAGGGATTGAGTGTTTCGCACAGAGAGGGAGGTGGAGGATAGGAATAAGAGGTCTTTATGCATCTGTAATGTTTATTAATCCAGGAAAATAAACGGGGAAATGCTAATGTTTGTTTAATCTCAGTGGGAGAGAAATGAGTATCTGCTATATTTCTCACTGTTTGGAATATTTACAATTAAAATCATTGTTAAAGGAACATCAGAAACAACCTATAGTTAGCACTGAAGGCCAGCTAAGGATTTCTGAGCTTCATGCACGGTCAGTGGGAAATCATTCCATTTCTGAGCAGGAGCGCCACAAGACAAAAATGGGTTTTTCTGGAAAATTAACTGGGCAGCACAGAGGGATGATTTAGGGAGGAAACACCCGTGCGACAAACCAGCAGGCGCCTTCAGCAAAAACCAGACTGTGAGGCCCAAGGGCCTGCAGACGCTGGAGGAAGTCAGGAAGGGAAGGAAGGAGGGCCTTTGATTACGATGATGCTGCAAAGCAGCGACGGCACCTGATCTGGGGCGTTCACTCATCCGTTCCTCCACCAGTTCAGTGATTCTTCCGATTTCTCCTGGGCACCTAGTAAGTTAGGGGCAGGGAGCATAAACACGTGGTTCTGGCCCTCCACAACTGCCAGGCGGGACTCAAAATGGGAAAAAAGTTACCGGTACTAGAAGAGCAGTGGTCACCTGCTCCAATGGTGAGCTGCAGAGGGGAGGTGGGGTTTTCTAGGGTAAGTGTGCGCGGTCAGCATATGGCAGGACCGCAAAGAACAGATTGCTGTTCTTCACCTGTAAGAACTGGTTTTGAATGTCAACACCTCCACCGATCTGTGATTTCTGCGCACAAGCAACCTCGTTTCCATTGCAAATCCCCCGGAACTGGTGTGGGTCCCTCTAGCCAACATGATCCTCGCTGTGGACGTACAGCCTACAGAGGAAGGTGGGTCCCTGTCGAACGAGGTCAGCCAGATGCAGGGGGAGGGAGCTGAGGAACAGCAGAGCAGGTGGCAGGAGATTTTTCTGAATTCAGGAGTCACAATGTGACAAAAGCCAGTGAGCTGGGACAGTGGGAACGGCAGGTGGAATCCCACCCGGAGAATTCTAGACGCCGGCTGGATGGAGACTGGATCTTTTGCAGGGACATAAGTCTGAATGGCTGCTAACAGGAGAGCAGGGTGCAGACCAAGCCACTTGAGATGTTGGGACCGAAGGACAGAGATGTCAAAGGTGGGCCTGGACCAGTCCTGCCTCTGATTCTAGCAGCAGCTCTGTGCTGCTGACATCTGTTCACCAGGCCCATGGGAGTCCATCCAACTAATAACCTCAGCAATGGGTCACCACAACAGTGATCCTGGGAGCATCTCATGCATCTTATAAATAGGTGCTCCCAGCCACACGCAAAGACTAGTTCTCCCATTAACAAGACAGATGGGTAGTGGGTCCATTTATGACCCTGGGAACTTAGCTGAGCAACACGGCAGCAGCTTTCGCTAATTCCCAACGGGCCAAGCACCACCCTCCGGGCTGAACGCAGCTCATGGGCCTTGGTTCAGCTCTGGCCTTTCCCAGGGAGAAAATCAGTCTCCTCTCAGAGATGCGTGGGGAAGCGGGAAGGCAGTGATGCAGATAATTGAATGTGTTGTTTTAGATTTGATCTGATTTATATTTAATTTATTTAATTTATGCTATATTACTTTTTGCAGTAGATTTACCTGCCTAATTATGTTTTGCTCAGGCTAATATTAACATTAGCTGCATCCCTGGGGTAGACACGGAATGAAAGCGACGGGGGGCAGAAGAATATGAATAATCGACACACCACGCTGGTGGTTTTCAAGCTATTTTTAGCAGCAGAACTCTTTTAAACAAAATTGTACACAGAACTGTAATGTATAAAATAGATAACAGGGGATCTGTTCTGACTGGTGTGGGGTGTCTGGCCTAGGGCAAAATGATGTCTGTCACGCGGGCCCCAAACACCCAGTTGCTACCTCCGTCACGCTGTGATCCCCGAACCATGATTCCAGGAGCAGAAATACAAATTGAAAACCACCAAATTAGACGAGTTAAATGTTTATACACAAGAGTTATATGTACTTCAATGATCAGAACTGATGCCTGTGTTTCTTTCAAGCCTGCATACTGTTATGACAAATAACTGTCATCTCAGATCAAATTACACTGTACCCTAGAAACACATAAATTGTCTCCCCAAATTAGCAGATAATGTTTCAACATATACACCAGACCTAATTGACTCAAATAAGCATCTTAATTCAAAGTAGCTACACTCAGAGTAATAGTGTCAAATATTTATTGAGCACTTACTATGTACCGGGCATGCTTCTACATTCCTTACACATTTTTAAAACTCTCATAACTATAAATATCTAGATTTTGAGACAAGAAAACTCAATCAAAGAGGAATTTAAGGCCTTGGCTGGGTGGCTCAGTTGGTTGGAGCACTGTCCTCTACACCAAAAGGTTTCAGGTTTTATTCCCAGTCAGGGCACATACCTACATTGCAGGTTCAATGCCCAGTCAGGACGCATATGAGAGGCAACTGATCAATGTTTCTCTCTCACATCAATGTTCCTCTCTCTCTCTCTCTAAGTTAATAAAAATAAAAAGATTTAAGTGACTTTCCCAGGGTTAACCAGTTGGTAAGTGGGTAAGTGATAACCAAGCAGTCTAGCTATCTGTTCTCTGAACACTAAACTAACCCACCTGTCCTGGAAACTGTGTACTTACCTGAAGTATCCTGTTGTCCAGACTAATTTTTTAAATTTTATTTTTAAATTATGTAAAGTTTATAATATAAGAAATATTACTTGTAAATGCACATTATTCTTTACTCACCAAATGGTGTTAAAATCATATGAACAAAATTCACCCTCAATAGACGAAGCCTGGGGCAAGTTGAGACAGTGGATGAGAACCTGCTGCGGGGACCAGGGGCGGCAGGTGGGCCCGGACTGGCAGCGGGGAGGGAACCGGCGCAGAGGGGTCCAGTCAAGGTCGCCTGTGCCCCCCTCAGCTCGCCGTGTTGGCGTCCTCAGAATGGGACCTTATTCGGAGATGACGGCTTTGTAGTAGCAATGTTGAACCGGTGAGCTACAAGAACTTTCAACACATGCAAAAACCTGACTATTTAGTCAGGGGCACTGACCTCTTTTCCTTTAGATTGTCAAGTAAGAAAATGACAGCAGCCAACACAACAATAGCTGTCCGGTGTGAACGAGTCAAAATTACACCTATGGTTTTGTCAGATGGCAAAAAAATCTAGTTTTTGATGTGCCGCAGAATTTTAGCAATCTGTGTATGTGCACCATGCAATGAAAACGATTGAAAATCACTGCTTTATAAAAGTATCAAGTTAAAGTGAGGTTACAGATGAGCCCTACTCCAATATGACCAGTGTCCTTATGAAAAGGGGGATATGGACACACATACAGGGAAGACGATCTGAAGAGTCTGAGGGGAGACAGCCGAGGAGGGGCCTGGAACAGACCCCTCCCTCACGGCCCCCAAAAGCAATCAGCCCCGCCCACACCTTGATCCTGGACTTCCAGCCTCCAGAGCTGTGAGGACATAAACTGTGATGCTGAAGTCACCCTGTCTGTGGCACTTGGCTAGAGCAGCCCTAAGCGAACTCACGTAGGTGGGATTTTCTGTTTTTAACAGAACGACTATTAAATTGTATGTGTTATTAAGATCCCACATGCTGACGCTCCAGGGTCCGAGAAACAGTGACTGCTCTCGGTGGCCGCCGCCAGACAACAAAGGACACGATGGCTCTTTTGTTTGCTCCAGAGGAACAGCTGGTTTCATCTTCAACCCCCAGGGGACACCGAGTGCTGCTGCAGCAACAGGTCCCTGCGGAACGGGAATGGTGTCGTCTGTCTCGAGCTAAGGATTCTGGGGGTGGTGATGAGAAAATGTCACGTGAGAATGGC